TCAGACATAGGGGAAGCTTCTAGCAGCTTCTCACAGAAGCCACCCCTGTAGCCCCCCTGGCTACCAAAACCTTGCCACGCAAACCCAATACAATTTCCCATCTTGATGGGCACAGACTCAACCTGCCTCTCCTTTGTTAGAAAAGGGAGGAATGGGTTCTTGAAGCTGCAGGGTCTCAGAGCTGCATGAGTCCATCTCTTGCCATCAAGGTCCAGATACTGCTAATGATACAGAAATTGATCATCATGAAAGATTTGATCAATCTGCAACAACTCCTTTACTCTTTAATAGCTACTTCCATGGGTACAGTGCCTCTACCTAACTAAGAACAATAATTTTTCCTACTTTCTCATCTTACCTAAAACAGTATAAAGACTTCTAAGGCACCAAATGACCCCCAGACACCAAGTCTAAGAGCCCAGATCAGGCACATTCCTCATGCCCCTGAGCACTGAAACCAAATTCAAGGTGAAAAAGTAGAACTTTTCGCAGCACAGAGTGATTTTCATAAATGCTTTGAAATAGCACTAAAAGTACTGATTATTCTTTTTCCTGCTTTCTATCCAGCTTAACTCTATGAGACTTTTCAGAGGTGTCATGTATTCCCAAAGTTTTGACTTATAATTCAACCTTTTTGGTCTTATTTTAGATCACTCTTTGAAAGCCATATCATGTTTCTTCATGTAGTATGGTGGGACAGAAACCACTCAAGAAGTCATGTGACTGCCTGTATAATCCAAAATTCTGTGCAGTGGAAAGGAAGAGAGTTTTTGTAATGGAATATATCACAGTGTTTGGGGACTTGGGGTACCACAATGATATAAACAACACAGGGTCCTGTACAAAAACCCAAAGATGGAAAAAAGGCAATATATTTTGGGGAAGAAAGGAGATGGGTGACTGAAATTATTAAGGAGACAAATACAGCATTCTTTTCATATTTCTATTTATCCTGGAAATACAGAACTCACAGGGTTTGTAAAAGATGGAAGAAAGGGAGAACTTGGAAATTCTGTACTCAATCAAGCTATTTGAAATCATTGATCTATTCAATTATTGTTTTTCCCTTTCCAGTTTTGGAAGAAAATGTGGCTCTGGATACCCTCATGGGATTGCATACATGGATAATTAGGACAAATATCTGGCTTTTCATATCCTGTTTTTACAACACTTTTGAATACCATGAGGAAAGAGTTATTTATTGAACTAAGTATTAGCAGTGTGAGGACAGATAACCTTTTGTTTGGAAGTGGGACCACTCTCACAGTTGAACCAAGTAAGTATCATTATTTTATTTCTAAAAATTATGTTGAAATTAAGGATGGGGATGACAAAGGAATCTAATGGTTTGGGTTCACTGTAAGAATTTTCTGCTGAAATAATCCCTAGAATGCACTCTCTCCAGCCAGAGTTTCAAGCTGAATCCTCAGGTTGTATCTGCTTAGGAAGGCTTTAGAGGAACAACTGGGTTACCTCTGTGTATCAGTATTACTCCATGATCCCCAAACACCTGGTGTACACTACTACTTAAGTTTAACACGTTATAATTTATTCCCAGTCTGGATAGCACTCTGGCCCAAATTTACTGTGAAGTGTCCTATCCTCCAGTGGATTTTCACTGCCTCATTTTGAGCAGGAAATCAGTGAAGATCTGACAGTGGAGAGAAGTTTTGAGACAGATCTTTAGCTCTCTGGTATGAGAAGTTAGTTTTTGACACTGGCACCACACTCATAGTGTCACCAGGTAAGTAATTCCACTGGCATGGAGACAGAGGAGGAAGGAGGTTAAATATCTTTGGGCTTAAATTTTCACAGCTACATCATATCCAAGACCACTTAGAATGAATTAAAATTGGCTACCAAGTTGCCTAGGCTTTGAAAATGCAGATGTGGTGAGTAGGGATTATAACAAGCCTTACTTCTTCCTAGCTTTATTTGGAATTTCATGATGTACAAAAAAGGTGGATGTCACCCCAAGCTTTTCTGTGGGAGTGCGAATGTTGGGGCAGCAGGGGAATTTGTTAGGTTGATCTTTGTTATCCTAAACATCCAGGTGCATATCTTAAGACTTGTTACGGTGCTTTCAGAGATCTGCATGTCTTTAAAGTGCTGCAAAAACGTCCCATGTCATTTTACATACCTAAAACATCCTGCTCTTATTCCAGAAGGGCATGGGGCTCCCTAAGGTGCTGCCTAATATCTGTCCAGGTCTGTAGGGTATCTTGCATGGGAATAAGTGTCTGTTTTGGAACAATTTAAGTCCACCCCCAATTCCAAAGGGACAAAGGAATACAAAGTTACCGTTCTGAAGAAAGATCTGTTCTTTCCAACTAGCAAATCCTCAGTTGTAAATGTAGGACCAGAAGTAACTGCCAGATTCCATTATTTTAACATCAGTCAACATCGATTTGAAGATGGTATTTGTCAAAAAAAAAAAAAAAAAAAAGAGTTAGAATACCCAATAGAGAATACTAGAATTTTGCAAGAAAAAACAACCAACAAAACACAGTCTAAGAGCTGGCAGGTGGAAGATTGAGCAAAGGTATTGCCATTTCAGACATTTACAGAAATGCTGATATGATACTCTTGTTTCTCACTTAAAGGGCCTTACGTTTTTTTAAAAAAGTTTAGCGTGTTGGTTCTTCTGCTGACAAGAAAAGATTTGTTTCTAATCAGCTGAAGGTAGCATGTGGCTCATGGACTGCAACAAGATATTCTTGGTTTAAGCAAACTTTTACAGTAGATTACTCAAATTTCTAAACCACCTTCACTGAATTTCCCACAAATTGAGTTAGAGAACAATTCATTTGACAAAAGAAAGGTATTAGCCTTGTCTTCTCCTCTACCCTGAAATGCTTTAAATCATTCTTTCTCTGTTTTTCCTACCTATCTATCCTCTCTGATATCCTGATGCAAAATTACATGAAATTTCAATTTCAAGAAATAATTCTGCTTTATTAGCTACGATTGCACAGTGTACATTTGTTCTTGCTGAGGATTTTACCCAGCGAGTTACGCCAGAGAAGCAGCTTGCTAGTATACTGGCTGTTTGCAAATACTGGAGATCAAAAAACACTAAAAGCCTCTAAAGATCTTCTCAGATAACAAAGAATGCACAGGACTAACAGCCTCTGGCAAAACCATGTTACAGCACCTGGAAAGGAAACGTATGTAGGAGGAATAGCAAAATGAGCCTTTTTTGATTCACGCGTTTTAACTGTGTGTTTACTGCTCCTCTTGTCTTTGGGAAGGGAACTCAACTGACTGTGGAGCCAAGTAGGTATTCTTTATGCATTAACCTTTTCTGAGTTGTTATTGTTTGGATTTTCACTTTTTTTCCCTTTTCTTCCTGCTAAAATTCAGACAGCCACTTCCCCGTCCTTTAAAGTCACTAATTAGACTTTAGGCTTTCTGTGTATAACCTTTTGATATGCAATTAGACAATTTAAGTATAAAAAACATGCTGATTACACTTCTTGGGAGTTGCCAAAGAATTTGGGCTCCACAAGGGCAAGTCCTTGCTGCTATCATGCTGAATTTCTTTGGGACCTAACAGCTATCCACTTACTGAGGCATCCTAATAAGCTTTTCATAGTAATTGTTAGATTTCAAAACCATGCTTGGATAATCTGAAGGGAACTAAAGTTCCTGTGGAGGTTGACATTTAAGTTCCTAAGAATTTCTATTCTGTCAGTTAGAAAGACAGCACTGTGGATAATATACAAAAGCATTAAGTGGAATCTTATGCAACATTTCTGTACTAGTTTAATCTCACTAAATTGTTCAGAGTTTGAGTTAAACTGAATAGGTCAAGTGAAGTCAATGAATGTTTGGTGTCTGTTTGCTGTAGGTGTTGACAAGCATGGAATTGTGCCTGTTTTATTAGTAGAGCCAACCCATGAAATTATGGTAGAGTACTGCTTGGCTTTCACCTCAGTTTCTCAGTATAGGGGTGTGGGTGGTGGGGGAAAGAGGAAAACC